CTACCTTTATTATTAATGTGCAAGCCATGTGTTGTGAAGTGGGATCTATTCATAAACTTCAGGTCAATCAGAAAAACATTGTTTAATCTAGCGACTAATTCAGCTATGTAGTTATTTACTCGCGTTAACAGATGGTTCTCAATACTATTGTAAGGCTTGTCATATCTCATAGGGATTGTTGTAATAAAAACTGGTCTATTCTTACTATGGGTCACGAGTTTACCTTCTAATTTAGAATAAATACTGTGGAAGTCATTATTCAGGCTGTCATTGCTCCCTCCTAATATTAAGAGAGGAGTATTGAGGTTTTCGATAGAAGATGAATCGATAACTTGAATCAGAGTCGTGTTAGGTCTGACGTAACCAAACACATCTACTTTCCCAGCACTAATGTTATGGATTTGTGTAGCCAGCATCTTCCCTTGACTATCTGCACACAGGGTAATTTTCATCCTAGGGGTAATATGTCCAAAGTTTCTTCTTCTTTTTCTTCTTGATGTCTTCTTCTCTTCACTTCGATGAGCCTTATTTATAGGAGTTATATTAGCCTTATTTTCCTCTACAGTTATGGGACTAAGATTTGATGTCAGTTCAACATTTCCAGACATATTTTCTAGAATTCTGAATTTATTTTGAATTTTTATGGGGCAAACCTCAAATTTGCTCTCCTGTAAAAGAGTCAGCTTTTTGCTTAAATTCTTGTTCTTGTTCTTAGGTGATACAGTCAGATTTTTTCATTTACTATAGTACTCCATTCGTTATTATGGTTAACTTCTTTTGGATTCTGTTCACATGTAGTTAAAATATCGTGAGTAGGTTTAGATCTATTTTCTTTAGCTTGATCCACACTTAATGGGTCATCTAATGGCTTATGCTCTAATGGGGGTGGAGTAGTTAAGTCAAAAAATGGTTTCAACATCATCTCCCTTAGTGTATCTGCAGTTACACATAGGTTGACATCACTATATAACAACGCAAGTTGACCCCGTTTAGCAATTACATTGGACTCAGTAATAACGGGGAAAAACTTCTCCCATGAATCAAGCGGAGATGGTCCTTGGATGAGCTGGATGATTACCTCAGCAAACAGAATCATATAAACGCCACAGTCGTAGTTATTCCTCTGCTGCGGGACTTTGACCACTGAGATATTACAGTTTTTAAGGACTCCAAAGTATTTCTGTAAGGAGTTTGCTATTTTCAGTGCATGGGCATAGTTGTACTCTTTTAGTGAATCAAAATATACAAATTTATTTACATCCTTTATATACAACAAAAGACTCCAGTGAGAGCCTGAGCCTCCTGGCTTATCCACAGCAGGCGAGTCATTTACTGGTATCAAAACATAAGATTTGTCAGTCAAAACGGAACCTTGAAGCAAATAGTTAATATCTTCCAGACATTTTATGGCTTGAGAAATAATTTGGTTTCATGATAAAAACATTTTCATTTGAGATTATTTTGGAGGACGATAACTGGAAGTAGTGTTCAATAGCATCATCTGTGAGCCAATCTCGCTGAAGAATAGATAAACTAATTTTTTCCCTTTCAAGCAGTTGTGGCTTAAAATTCTGAACAGGATGAAGGTCACTGACTGTAATATTATTTTCTTCATTGCATGACTCGCTAATACTAAGAATGCTTAAATTACTAGATGGAGTGGTACTTGCCGCATTGGACCCATCTCTATCCAAATTTAACAATATATCCGTATCAGAACTTTTGTGTAGTATGGAGGCTTGGGAACTAGCAATGCTACTTTCATTCATAATGGAATCATTTTTGGATTTTATTTTAATGGAACTAAAGTTAAAATCTTCAATTTTTAAATTAAGTTTGTGGTCTTCTAAGTACTTGGATAGCTCTTTTTTGGAACGAAAAACCTTACCCCTCGGTGATGTGATGTAAACATCAATTTTCCCAGCACTGAGGCCTTTTTTCCTTACAACCTCAGCCCTCTTCCATCCAGAGGGAATTGTTTTATTTACATCAGAGTTCATATTCAGTTCCAGTGTACATAAAAAAATATAAATTCAAAACAGAATTATCTTTTTACAAATTCAAAGTGTAATCAATAAAATATTAACAGACTTTATTTCCTAAAGGCTTCCATTAAAGCATGCTTCCATTCAAAACTATATTACATATCCAATGCTATTAGTAGCTTAAAAAATAAAAATAAGTGGCTACTCAATTCACCACTAGTACTAACTTTGTAATGGCAATATTTGTTAAAAAAATTATAGTTTCTTCAGTATTGTAATTCCGGTTTCAAACAGCATGTAAACAAGGAAGTAAACAAACTGGCAGATAATAGTTGTCCATGTCCCGCTCAGAGATAAAGTTGACTCATCCCATTGTAGATAAGGAAAACTCAAGCAGTGCAACCCTCTTATCTGATCTGATAAGAAACCCAGCCTATCTCTTTACCTGCATAAGTTGTTGATTTCTCAGTAAAACTTTTATGTTTTTCTCATCTTACTCACAGAATAAACCCTTTTTCAGAAATATTATTTTTATAAGACACACACTGAAATAAAACTCACACAGCTGTACACAATTGTAAGTAAACAAACTATTATTTCTTGTAAAAAACTTTAAAAAACCAGAGAGCACATTTAACTCTGCACTATTGACTTTGGGTCTTCCCCCTCCCTTCTAGAAGTATCCTAAGAACTTTCTACCTGTTTCTCTCTTATGCCACACATATAAAATATTAAAACGTCTGATACTCAATCGAATCGGCGATTTTCTGGAACAAAAGATCATGCCACAACAGGCAGGCTTTCGATCAGGCAAGTCTTGTTGTGGCCAAGTTTTAAACCTGACCCAGCACATTGAGGTTGGTTTTGAGAGAAAACAGATCACGGGTGTCGCTTTTGTAGATTTAACAGCTGCCTACGATACCGTAAACCACCGAAGACTCTTGGGAAAAGTATACAGTATTACCAAAGACTATCAGCTGACTTCAATGATAGACACTTTTCTTCATAACAGGCGGTTTTTCGTGTCCCTTCAGGGCAAGAAGAGTAGATGGAGGAATCAAAGAAATGGATTGCCTCAGGCTAGCGTCTTAGCCCCAGCTCTTTATAACATTTACACTAACGACCAACCGTTGCCAAACACTACATGTCAGTATATATATGCCGATGATACGGCGGTGGCGGCACAAGGCAGGAGTTTTGAAGAGGTGGAACAGAAGCTGACTATGACTCTAAATGGACTTTCCCAGTACTATGATGCAAATCACCTCAAGCCGAACCCTGCTAAGACCCAAGTTTGTGCCTTTCACCTAAACAATAGAGAAGCAGGCCGTGAGTTGAATGTGAGGTGGCGGGGAGACCGTCTTCAGCATTGTCCTACACCCAAATATCTTGGTGTCATACTGGACCGCACACTGACATTGTATTGTGCAAGGCGCATTGTATTGCGACAAGAGGTAAAGACTCGGCGAGGAATAATATCATCAGGAAGCTCACCAGCAGTATATGCTGGGGTGCTAACCCTAATGTCCTCAGAACCTCAGCTTTAGTGCTCAGTGTGTAGGCTGCGGAGTACGCTGCACCAGTATGGAATGCATCGTCACATGCAAAAAAGGTTGACATTGCAGTCAATGACATGGCTCGGATTCTAACTGGGTGTTTGAAACCAACCCCACTACACAAACTCTATCCTATCATAGGGATCGCCCCTCCATCAATCCGACGTGATGTCGCTGCCGACGCAGAAAGGACTAAGCAAGAGACAGACCCTTGTCACCCATTACACGGCCACCAACCTGCAGAGCGACGGCTTCGGTCCAGAAAGAGCTTTTTATCACGGACACAAGTCCTGGATGGATCAATCTCAAGCAATCGGGTGGCAAGGTGGGACGCCACGTTGACTAACCCTCCCATACCAGCCAGGGAGGAACTGGCTCCTGGTGGAGGCCTTCATTACACGGTGTGGAAGACCCTAAATCGAATTAGGGTCGAGGTACCAAAATCCAAGACAAACATGCAGAAATTGGGTCTCTTACCAGAAAAAGAAAACATCTTGTGCGCGTGTGGTGCTGTTCAGGATCCTGGCCACCTCTGCTGATCTGCCCACGCCTAGACCAGTCTTGCACATTAGATGATCTTTTACATGCGAATGACAAAGCCATATCGGTAGCAAATTTTTGGAAAAGCGAAGTCTGAATTCCGGACATGGAAAGTAAGTATTGAAAATCTAATGAATCACGGAGTAAATCAAATGAGTCTTAATCTTTAAGAGTCGTTTCTAAAGGGAAAATTAAACATAGGAGATTTTCCGTGACCGATATGTAAAATCTGTGACTTTTCCATGACCAGTTATTAAAATCCGCGACTTTTTCGTTACTTATGTGATTTCCGTTACCGGTAGATAGCCTGTTAGGTTTCATTGCAAAAGTGCTGAAAGAACCGGCCATTGTTCGTAAAATACACACTTGGTGCACGCCTAGTGTATTAGTATCATTTTCAGATTTTTAAACAATCAAAATCAGTATTGTATATAGAAAATCAAATTAAATCCGAAATAATTGTTTAGGTTAAAGAAGAATAATCAAAAGAGCCAGCTTTCACAAAATAAATGGCAAAGACATGATCAAAGTAAACTGCAAACTCATAAGCTTTCCACCATCCCCACCTCTACTAACAAAACCAAATACCCGAAAACGCCAAATAAAAAAGATCAATAAAAAATCCTGCTTCCCCTGTCTAGATTGCACACGATCACAACTACACAGTTGAAATCTGTTCATTACTTGTCTAAAGTTGCATTTTTGTTGGATCATCCAAAATAAATGTGTTGATTTTTTTCAAGCTAAAGATTACTTCATGATAAAGAAGAATATCTCGAAACAGCCCAAAAGCTTGCACATTAATTTTAGTACTTTATAAAGAAATAACCGTTACTGGACATTCCAAAATTTATAGGTAGTAAAAACATAAAATTAATTGTTCTCTAACCAAAAAAAGTATTGAAGTCTGGCTTATTACCTGTTGTTTGGCATTCCTATTGGGCTTGACAGAAAAGTGAACATCTCTCAAGGCTTTTTCAATAATTGACACAGGATATGGCCGTTTTGTTTCTGGATTAACACACTTATCTGAAATTGCAAACAACTGTTTTCATAATGATGGCTATACCAGTGTAAAACAATTCAAGAATAACTAGTTTGTAAAGATAGCCCTATGAGCACGGAATTACAATCAGTGTGGCCTGATAAATTTTGACTGCCTTCCCCACAAAATACGCACCCAAATCCCTTTTGAAGTGAAGTCAGAGTAAAATATGCTATAGCTCGTGCGTTTCTTGGTAAAGCCTGGGGGTAGGGTTGAAGCCCACACAAAACCGGTTCAGAGCCACTCTAACCACCTGCGCCCCAGGCTTCACCAGGAAAAGCACGAGCTCTACCTAACTAAATATAGTACACAATGAAATTGAACCAAAGTGCAGGGAACAAGACACTTTTTCTCAACATAAGTCTAGATATTTTACGAATAAAATTAAAAGTGACACTATTTTTTCAGGCAACTCCAATAATTATTGCCCTTGAGTTGATGGGACAGAGAGATTTTTTCTTTGTAACCTGGTATTAAACTCAAAAGATTTTCGAGTAACTTTTTTTGAAAAAAAAAATGCTTTTAGTGTTGTTTTTTTTTTACAATAAATAAACAACCAAACATTTGGGTACTACTTAACTTGGTTTTTTTCATTACTAAATTGGAACAATGTGTTAAATTAAAAGTTACCTACTTAATCCCTTTTTTTGTACCGGTATATTTAGGATGTATAATTATGTATTGGTAAAGTTACAGCGCAAGAATAAGAGACAATGTAAAAAACGAAAAAATATATATACAGTAGAGTCCCAATAATCCAAACTTCGGTAATCCGAAAGTCCGCTTAATCCGAAAACGTGTTTTTTTTTTAAGAAAGGATATTTTAAAGAAAAAACAGTGAATAAGTGAAAATCAGTTATGCTTTATTTATAGAAAAAACAGTGAATAATAGAATTACAGTACAGCATGTACAGTACGTACTACAGTAAAAATTACACAGTACAGTAGCCTACTTTTCAAATGTATAGTACAGTAAAGACAGTGTTTGAAACTTACATTTACATACAGTGTTGGACTAAAGTTCTTCAGTTGGTTTAAAAAAGTCTGTTAAAATTTTTTGACGAAGATTAGAGGATCTCTCTTAGAAGCATAATGACGCCAACGCCATAGAAACAATGTATCCGCTGGGGTCGAGACGGACTGTTGTTCAACGTAGCGTAGCGCTAGATCAAAGGCAGCTGCCGCGTCCGAGTGGAATACTCTCTGCTTGCTGCCGTCGTCAGCTTCGCCTTCACTCTCGTCTGAGTTGTTTTCTGGTTCCCTCAAAACCCTTTCAACGATCTGCTGATCGTTTAAAATTTCATGATCATTGTTGTCAGCTTGTAACCACTCATGCACGTCATTTCCATTAGTGTACTCACAACCAGGAATGTTTTGTAACAGCTCCTGCACCTGCACAACCTTGTTTCTCTCTTTATGTTGTGTCAAGTTGTCCTGAAAATTTAGGCTTGACCCCAGTTTACTCCAAGATTTTTTCAACAGTTGTTCACTTGTAGATTCCCATGCTTCTGCTACCCAATAAATGACGTCTTTAATGTTTACCATCTTGAGCTTTTGAAGCAACGAGAGCGTTTCGTCCTGATCTTCCAGTATTCTTCTCAACAACTTTTTCCTATATGAGAGCTTCACATGCTGTAGTACATGTTGATCCATTGGCTGGATCAAAGGGGTCACATTCGGTGGTAAAAACACGGCCCTTATGTCTCCACTTATCAATTTGTCGTCTGACGGGTGAAAAGTTGCATTGTTGAGAAAAAATAATGCTCGAACTGGTAAGCCAAATATTTTCATTACAAAATCGAGTGACTTTGGGAACAAAGTGGTCGTTAAACCATCCCTTAAATAGTGCTGAGGTCATCAGTCATCATATATTCTGTTTTGACTGCTGTAAAATCCCTAGTTTTAGCGATCTAGATAAGAAAACTTATGTTGACACAATTTCATGTACCAATCTGTACATTTTATGAAATAAAGAAGTTGGTTGATTGATTGATTGATCCAAGCATTTTTGGAGTTTTTGTAGACAACAGGCAATGCATTTATATTTAGGTTTTTAAATGCCCTTGGTTTTGCTGCTTTGCCGATAACCATTAAAGGGAGTTTATGATTTCCAGCAGCATTACTACAGGCCAAAACTGTCAATCTTTCCTTGCTTATTTTCAAACCAGGAGCACTTATTTCTTCTTTAGAAGCCAGACTTTTTTTAGGCAATGCCTTAAAATTAAGCCCAGTTTCATCAGCATTGTAAATTTGCTGCGGTGAATAGTTTCCTTCAGCAATCATGTCAGCAAATGTATCTGAAACTTATTCGGTTGCAGCAGCCTCATTGGACGATAAGACGTTCACCCGTAATGGCTAATTGTCGTATGCCGTGACGCTTCTTAAAACGATCAAGCCAGCCTGTGCTAGCAGAAAAAGACGTGTCTCCCTTCAATAATTCATTTAGCTGTAGAGCTTTTTCTTTGATCAAGGGTCCACTAATCGGGGTACCTTTTTCTCTCTCTTGAGAAAACCAAACAAACAAAGCACTGTCGAGGTTCTCCAGTGGTGTGGTTTTCGCTGTATGGCAGGATTTAGTACACTTACTTGTGGAAGCAATACAAAACTGTTCTATTTGTAACCGGTTTTTCTTCCAGTCGGTGATCGTAGCATTCCTCACTCCAAACTCAACAGCCAATGACGCACTTTCACCATTGTCTAATCATTTAACACTTCAAGTTTGTCTTGTAATGTAACCGAAGTATGTTTACGTTTTCAAGCCATTTCACCATATTCACAACCTCAAAAGATAATGTTACAAAGTGTACATAAATGTTACTAAGCACCAGGTTTGTTCACTTTATAAATTGGCCGTTCTGAACACCAGAATTGCCAACCTAAAGAACAAAATTGCAGTACAGTAAAACCAATGCAGTTTATCGTAAAAACAACAAGTGACCCAATACGCGCTGCCACCTATCGGGGAGAGCTGAAACTACTAGCACCATCGCGTAACGCCAGTAATGCAGACACAAAAAGTGACCCAGTACGTGCTGCCGCGTATCGGGGAAAGTTGTAACTACTAGGACCATCGCGTAACGCCATTAATGCAGACACAAAAAGTAACCCAGTACGTGCTGTTACCTATTGGGAAAAGCCGAAGGAAACTGCTAGCACTGTTGTGTTACGACACTTAGTTGTACTTTGTCAAAGTATTCTGTAATGTCCGAGCAGCTGGGCGAGATAGACTTAATGTTAGTAGGCCAGTGGGCCAACTTAAACGTTGTATTTCATAGTTACGTGTATTTTAGTAAAAATTTCGCTTAATTCGAAATATTTGATAATTCGAAATATTTGGTAATCCGAAATGGGTCCGGTCCCAACCATTTCGGACTATCAGGACTCTACTGTATATTCAAGAAAAATCCTATAATCTATGTTATTTTTCAGACAGGACCTTCTGAGACTCCTCAGAGGATTTAGAAAATTAATTAAGGCAAGTAAGGTCACTTAGTTTAGTAAAAAAAACACACACACTCACACACACACAAGGTGACCTCCATCTTAAGAGGGATGTAGTCTAGGGTAGGATTTGTAGTATTTTAGAAGTGATTAATTTTAATGTGCACTATCTAAATCTGTTGCAGCCTAATACATGTTTATGGCTATTTATTGCACATAGACACACACAGACAGCCACAAACAAAACTATAAAGCTGGATATTAAAATAAACCAGTCCTTAAGGAAACCACCAACTACAGTCTCAATAGTTCTAATTTTCTAACTAATCTTTTTCAACTCTAAAGTGATAAAGGTTTTACCAACAGATTACAATCCATCCAACTACTGTAAATATTACTGTGTTTTGACAGGGTCTGATTTTCATTTGAAATTTTTGTTCAGTTAATAATAACAATTAACAATGCTAATAACACAATGAGTCACAATGTGTCTGAAATGACATTTTATAAAGAGCAGAAACTAAAGGAAATAGTCGAGGATATTTACAAAAATTAATTTATGAGTAGAACGTCGCTCAACAAGACCACTTACCTGAAAAGCTTAAAAGTAAAATAATCAACAAGACCATTAACAGCGGCAGATAAATGACTTGGCCAAGGTTAACAACTTTGCATTTTCCTAAAGAGTTATGTGCTAATAGGCCTATTCCTTTTCTGCTAAAGTTAAACTAAGTGATTAAAACAGATAATTCATAGTTATAGTACTACCATTTCTAACATCTAGTTAACAAACCTGCAACTGTTGTTGCGATATCTTTGAATAAAGAATCCAATTGAGTTTGCCGCTCCTTGTCAGAAACTTGTAGTTCACCTTTAGCTAAAATTTCCTTACAAATTTCGGTTTGATCTTCTTTTCCAAAAGCTTTCATCAAGTCTTCTTTTTTTGCAACTTGTCCTTTGGAGACATTTGTAAACACTGTGTGTGTTTGCAGGACTTCGTCAATATCCTTCTCACTATAGAAGAAAGCACCATGAGTTTTTACACTACTTTTATCACTGTACTTTTATCTTATTAGATCAATTTAGAACACATAAGAGAAAATCTAGGCCCTAACGGAAAACGTGGCCAGATCTTAAAGTAAACGACCCTTGAAATTGGTTAATGTAGTGAAAAATATCTAAAAATTGTATTTACCTATGTTATCTGAAGGTTTTGTAGGTTGTTGAACTACTTGATTCGCATTTTGTCACTCAGTGCGGCATTTTCATAGAACATCTTCTTAGACTTGATTTCTTACACTACTGTACATAAGTGTAAGAAGATACTCTATGAAGATGCCGCACTGAGTGGCAAAATGCGCATCAAGTAGCTCAACAACCTACAAGACCTTCAGGAAACATAGGTAAATAAAATATTTGTATAATACAGGTCTCGTCACTGGGTTCAAATAAAATTGAAAAATATCTGAGACAATTAAACAAATTTACACTTATTATTTCCATAGCCATACTTCAATACTAAGAATTTAAATTGACAATGAAATAGTATTTTCACAGGCCAAGTGTCTTTCAGCAGGGCCGTCGCGTGGGTGGGGCGACCAGGGCGACCGCCCTGGGCGCTGCGGCAAAAGTAATGCAACAAAATTAAAAAAAGTTAGATGCACATAACGTATATTGGAAAGTTATGTATAACCACGAATACTAGTTCTATTATTCGTGTGTGTAACTGAATGTTGAATATTACGTTGTATGCCTTTATTGAACAAATACATATTATTTGATACCAATCACTTTATAATTTGCAATGTTTTCCAAATTAAATATCAATATAGTATTGAATTCAATTTAGTAATAATAGCCTAAACAATCATTTCCACTGTGGAGTTGAAGGCTCTGTCCCAACTTAATTATCTTAATATATTGCAATGTCTTAATTATCTTAATATTGCAATGTCGCGGTTCGCGGTGTTGCTCTGTACACGTAGCTGCCGTATTCTATTTTTATTTCGCCCGACCGGCCGACGGTCGACCTTGGGAACCACCCCTACCCCAATCACTCCTTTCTCCTACGGCAGTCTCAGCTGGGGCCCTATTTTTGAAATGGTTGACAGTTGAGTCAATCGTCAGCACTCAACTCAACCAACAACATGATTTGGTATTTTTGAAACCCAACAGTTGGGAAGCGAGTTGGGAATCACTAGTTGAGAGACTCGTGGTGGAAATGTAGAGCATACGACCGTCAAAAATTCAGATGACGTCATTTTGAACCAATCACAAACCAGAGTTCTTGCGGACTTCGATTTAACCTCTTCTTACTCTAAAATCTGGCAGCTAATCTCAATCTGCCATATTTCGAGACACTGAGGTAAACTGTCAACTCCGTTCTTGAGAGATTGAGATTGAGGTTATGTCTTGCTTAATCTTAGTGATTGCAAAGTACCTTAACTTAAGTAATAAACTAAAGTAAACTAAATAAAGTAATAAACTTAAGTATAAAAAATAAAATTTACTATGGATGTTTGTTTTAGGGTGTAGCTAGTTATAAGTTTAGGCATAGGCTGCACTTTACTTTAGGTCCTACACTCATCCTAAATACATTATTATTTGCTTTCTTCGTCTCTATTTCGGAACACATCACCTTATTTTAGTTTCCTTCATCGGTTTGTTTTATGTTAATTTTAATTGTTTTTTATTTAGGTGAAAGCGGCTAATTGCCATTGCACTGGAAGCATATCGTAACTTAAATTAATTTGATCCCTTTATTAGGTGAATATTATTGAAACAAACTATGATATTGTTTCTCTCTACCACAATCTTTATTACCTTAAATCATAGGTCTAATAACAATAATTATCTTATAATAAGTTCAATTAGTATGCCTAGTCTATTTCAAACATTCCAACAAGAATAAAACCCTTGATTAAATAGTCTAGTATTGACACAGTAAATAAAATTAAAATGCGATTATTCTACAGAAAACAAACACATAATTGGGTGCTAATACATGGACAACAAATACATAACCTCTAAATCGCAATTAGTAAATTAAAGCAGTAACAAAACAATATGGCGTCGTCTCAAAAAGAGTAATTTTTTGCCGAAAGAGAGGAAGAAGAAAGTGCAGTCAACCTCCACTCAACAGCTCGATAGGTGTTGAGTAGTTTTGGTTGTATAAGGCCACCGTCAACCGTTTCAAAAATTCGAATCGATTGGAAATAGAATGACTCGACACTCAACTCAACAGTCAACCATTTCAAAAATAGGGCCCCTGAGCTGCCAGCTTAGTTTGATGAGTGATTAAGAGTTATTTACACTTAATGTTTAGGATCTCATATCTAAATGTGATAACGTGGTTTTCTTTTATTCTGTATAAAAATTCTATTCAGAGTAGGTTTGGTTTGAGGTTTTGCATACATTGCATTAATTTCAATTTGCTCTGTATTAATTAATAACATATACAGTATAGTACTTTTTATACATTTTAACATTTTCTTACATTAATTGGGATTTGGTTATCATCAATTAAAAAAGATTTTCATACAAAATTTAAGTAATTTATCCCTAATAATCAATTCCAGATTTCTGACTCTAGTATTGTTGTAAGGTGATTCAATCCCTTTAGGTGTCTGTTTTTGGGGATTAAAACAAAGATAGCGACATCATCACTCATTCTGTGTTGGGGGGGGGGGGGGGGGGCGCCGGCAACATCCCGCCCCGGGCGCCAAAAAACCACGCGACGGTCTTTCAGGACCCTGTACGTTTAGGACCATAACACATTAATTTTAGCGAATTTCCCATATAGGGAATAAGCTAATACCCTAGTACTCATGGTAAGACCTGACTACCGGGACCGATTTCCTTTTTTGTTTTTTGAGGTCCCTAGAGGCCAAAAACACCATCCGTTCAAATTCATCTAAATATATAAAAGGCAAAGCCCTCACCAAAAGGTGAGTGAGCATAGCGAACGAACTTCAACCTGGAGGCGAGTTAGCGTAGTGAACGAGCTAACCTGAAGGCAAGTGAGCGTAGCGAACGAGCTAACCTGAAGGCAAGTGAGCGTAGCGAACGAGCTAACCTGAAGGCAAGTGAGCGCAGCGAACGAGCTCCAACCTAAAGGTGAGTGAGCGTAGCGAACGAGCTCAAACCTAAAGGTGAGTGAGCGTATCGAACGAACTTCAACCAGGACGTGATTGAGCCGAATAGAAAGACCAAAAATATTGTCTACCCACTAGCATTAATATAAGAGCAATAATAAAGAATTGGTTATCCTTTGTACTATATGTGTTTCACTAGTTGTCGTAAGTATTTTAATTTAGTTATAAGCACTTCATATAAAATAAGACAATTAAACGTTACGGTACGTAAATGATAAATAGTCAAAGGCAAGACAACGTCTGCCGGGTTCAGCTAGTACAGTATATCTTAGCTCTGACCATTTCCTAAACTAGAATTACCTCAGATTAAATCAGAAAACAAAAGTAAAACCATCTAGGGGATAGTTAATGACAATAGACGAAAACAAGAAAAAGAGTGGAAAACTATCCATCTTGTAAATAGAAAAGGAGAAGAAGTAAGCAAGCCAGAAAAAGAATGTGAAACACTCAACAAGCATTTCACCATTATAGGAGATAATTTGCCAAGCAAAGTAAAACATTATTTAATAACAAACGATACACACAAAGCTCAGTAATGTTTTCTTGCCCCCGTCACATAAATAAAAGTATTATTAATTCAATGAAAAGTAAAACGTCGGCTGGAGTTAATGACATCTCTCCTAAATTCTGAAGACGGTCGGTGAATATGTGGCTAGACAATTATGCCACCTAGTAAACCATTCTTTTGTTGAGGGGACATTTCCATCAGCTCCGAAAGTGGCAGTGGTAATACCGGTTTTTAAGAAAGGAGATGAAACCTTTTGCGATTACTATCGGCCTATCAGTCTGCTGTCTACAATGTCCAAAATTATTTTAAAAGCTGTTTTGAATAGACTATATATGACTTACTTGAAACATATAAAATACTTGTCACTAACCAAAATGGATTTTTAAAGAATAAATTAACTACAAGTGCCATCCTTAGCTTAGTAAACAAGATAACTTAGTGAAAGAATTGGCCAACAGGCAGTATGTAACAGGCATATTTTTTTCCTAAGCAAGGCATTTGATATGGTAAACCATGATTTACTTTACTTTTGAAAAGAATGTCTGTCTTGGGAATCAGGGGAGTGGCGCTAGATTGGTTTGCTTCCTTTTTGGTGGAAAGGCAATAGTCAGATTCCATACCTAATGTTGATGGGGCTGGTTATCTGAGACAAAATGCTTCTCCAAAAGCCCTGATCAAGAGAGCAAGGGTACATCCTGGGTCCCAAGCTGTTCCTTATTTTCATTATAACAGCCTACCTGAGTGTGTCAGCTCAGCTTAAGACTTGCCTATTCGGCGATAATACGTCTCCCACTCTTTCCAGTCCATCTATGGAATCATTTAATAGCATTTCTAGAATCAAACAGCCTTCTGCAATGGTGTTATGAAAATCAGCTGATTTTAAAAGCAGAGAAAACTCAAATGTTGAACTTCCACATGCCACCTAATAAGTCATCCTCAGCAAACAGCTGTGAGTGGTCTTAAAGTTCTTCTAGAAGACAAAGTTGTTACCTCATCCCAAAGTGTAAAAGTTTCTGGCTGTGATACTGGGCGAAAATCTGAAATTTCACCATCACATTGAAAGTGTAACTAGTAAAGTCTCCACTAGGGTTTTTGTTCTTCGAACTCTGGAAGAAAAGGCTGGTAGTTAGGTGCTTCTGTCAGCATAGTATTTCCATATCTTTTATATGCTTTATCTGTCTGGGAAAGTGAAAACCAAAGGACTTTGCTATTGTTTTGTTTTTAAAAAAAGAATAAGAGTGTGTACGCAAAGAAATATTTAGACAGTACAACATTTTAACCCTTCCCTCTTTGTAGATTTTGAAAACACTGTTGTTGGTTAAAAAGAATCTTGACATGTTTGATGTTTCTTCTTGTCACAAGTATTCTCTTCGAAAAACTAACAACATTTCCATTCCCAAACTCTCCACTTCATTCTTCCAACATCATTTTCAGTACACAGCTGTACAACAGCCTCCCTCTGGCATTAAAGACCGAGCAGGATCACTGGACTTAGGAGTGGGCAGTGAAGAGACTGCTTAATAAGGTGCACTACAGCGTCCAGGACTTTTTGGCTTGTAGTCATAACCTGTAGGCTAAATAGTCTTACAAATGTTACTACCTAAGAAGTTGTGGACACATTTTTGTTTTTAGTTTATTTTGACATGGATAACGCTAATTGTATTGGTTAATTTGGCTGAATAAATTACTTATGACTTCAAGTTTACTAAGTTCAGAAAAGAACTGGGCTGTTTCTAAAGGTTTTTAAATCCTATTCTCTAATACGAGCTATGCCTGTTTGTAAGTCTGTCTGTAATATGTATCTCAAAATCCAGCAGAAGGATTTTGACTTAATTCTGGAATTAGGGACTTATAGCTGTAAAACAGGATTGGCGATCAGCCACTAGGCCTACCTCTAGGCCACTAGGGGCAGATTCCTTGCTGCTGGGAGAGTGTTATCGCCCTCCTAGAGTTGGACAGCTGCTAGACTTTGAGAATGCACTCTTGCACCTAATGTTTAGGTATAGTCATGTCTTGATTATGGGTGACTTTAACAAAAATTTACCACAAACGAACCAGAACTATGAATACAGACATCTGACTACATTATTCGATTCATGCAACATAAGTATACTCCAACTTGAACCTTCGCATCATGCTGCCGAGTCTGACACACTCCTCGACCTAATAGTGGTTTCTGATCCACAAGAAATTTTACATCATGGGCAGCTTCCCATTCCAGTAGTATCCCAACATGACCTTATCTACTGTGTGTATTCGGTTAAAGCTCCTAAACCCAAGACAAAATCCGTTAAGTATAGAGATTTCAAGAACATGAATTGTTATATATTTTCTATTTGCATTCCTCAACAATCATAATGTTATTTAAAATATTCATTATTCCTGATGTTTTTACTATTGTGATTATCAAAACATTGTTCTCAATACAAGACTCATTTTACAACACTATCTTGAAAATAATTTATTCTATATTAATTATCTAATATTACTTCAAGTATTTTAAAATGAATGTGGCACAGTTTATGTTAGACGTACAGCAAATACCGTGGCACACCATCAAAAATCTTGTCTCTGTTGATTTAATGGTCTGTGAGCTTAAAAGTACCATAAATGATCTCCTTGATAAACATGCACCTATAATTACAAAACGTTTAACAAAACTGCAACCTGTACCATGAATGACGCCTGAAATACGCTCTTTGATGGCCAGACGCGACTGTCTTTATCAGAGAGCAAGACGATCCCAAGATCAAAATGAGTTTGATGAATATCGCCGTCTACATAATAGAGTCAAACAACTGCTGAGAAACTCAAAATTAAGATACGTTCACAAGCTTTTCGGAGATAAAAATCAGTCTTCCAGAGTTTTATGGCGCAATGTAAAAAGTCTTGAGCTTAGGAAACAAACTGATTCACAACCAGTTAATATATCTCTTAACGAATTGAATACCTTTTTTCTTTGTATACTTAGTCAAAATATTAACCAACAACCAGTTAATAACTACGTTAATGAGTTGGTTAACTCATTGGACCAAGGGTTGGAATATCCAATGTTTTCTTTTAAACCTGTTATACAATCTGATGTTTTAAAGGCTATTCGCCGGATTCGTAGCAATGCTGTCGGATCTGACGGTATACCAATACAATTCATCAAAGATATGCTTTTTGCCATTCTTCCAACTATTACACATATTTTCAATACGTCTTTGAGACAAAGATCATTTTTTTCATCTTGGAAGTCTGCCCTCATTCGCCCATTAAATAAGATCGCAGCACCATCATCCTGTCAGGATTTCAGGCCGATCAGTATTTTGCACGCCCTATCTAAAGGCCTAGAAAGAATCGTACACTGTCAAATTACTGACTTTTTGACTGAAAATAGCATCCTCTCTCACTATCAATCTGGGTTTCGCAAAGGTCACAGCACAGAAACAGCACTTCTTCGAGTTACAGATGACATTAGACTCTCAATGGAACGTCGACAGGGTACGATTCTTATCTTATTTGATTTTTCTAAAGCATTCGATTGTGTAAATCACAGACTATTATTGCAAAAATCAAGGGCCATAGGATTTTCTGATAGTTTTCTTGAATGGTTAAGATCATATCTGTCAGATAGGCGGCAGTGTGTTCAGGTTGATGACTTGGGATCAGACTGGGAGATAGTTTCATGTGGTGTGCCTCAAGGGTCAATCCTTGGGCCTTTACTTTTTGTACTGTACTGGTACATCAATGACATTGGCACAACTCTCACCCACTGTAAATGCGACATGTACGCTGACGACCTACAAATTTACTCTCACTTCAACGCCGATGACATTAACTATTGTGTTTCAAACATTAACGAAGACATTGGACGAATCATTGAATGGACCGTTAAACATGGACTTAAAATCAATCATGACAAAACCAAACCCATCATAATCTGCCATCAACGACTGCAAGGCTCAATTGACTTTCATGCTACAAATCCAATCACTGTTAATGGAACTGAACTACCATAGGCTACTGTGACAAAGTGAAAAACTTGGGACTGACTCTCAACACTACACTCACTTGGGGAGATGCAGTGATTGACATTCGTAAAAAGGTGTTCTCATCAATACATTCATTTAAGAAATTTTAAACTTTCTTGCCATTGCACATAAAGCTCCACCTTGTTAAATCACTCGTATTTCCCCACTTCACTTACTGCAACTCTGTGATCAATGACATGACTGTAAGTCTTCCTGGTGTGCTGCAACGCTCGAAGAATTATTGCTTGCAATTTTCATTTGATTTAAGACGCTTTGAGCACATTACATCTTTCTACATTGAATCAAAAATATTAAAGTTGAACAATCAGAGGCTACTTAAAATCACCATGTTAGCATTTTCAGTTTTAAACAATAGATTGCCAAAATATTTTGAAGGGGACTTTAGCTTTGTAGCCGAAGGTAGCTTGAGGAGTTCACGTACTGCATCTTTCACATTACGCATACCTCATCATGAGTACAGCATATGACAGGGCCTTTGTTGTAACTGCCTGCCGTCTTTGGAACAACTTAGGCCTACCTTTATCCATCAAAATGCTTGATGGTCGTCCTCGGTTCGTGGCAAAGAAAAATGTACTTTGAGCGTATGGCCTCGGCTGGTGTGTCCTAGGACTGTTTTGGCATTTGCGTAATTGCTGACTGAGTGTGTGAGACTTTTTTTTATGTTCATTTTGTTTTCGTTTTGTCAAAAAAAGTATTGCTTTGTGTAGCCTAAATAAATGTGTTAATTTGTATATTCTATTTTATATTTATAATTATGTATGCAGGTTAAGTGTAAGAAAGGGCCATGTGGCCCTAACTTTGCCTGTTGAAATAAAGGATTTTCTTTTCATTTCATTCATTTCATCTTTTGTTAGAATTTTTGTTATTTATAACATTTTGGTATTTGTTTACTTTAGGGGCTTCTAACGAAATTTGAAAAAAATGTTTTTTTCTCATTATTTGGCCTATTTTGAACACTTTTTACATTTGTCATTTTTGGGGCAAACGCCTATTTCACCCTGAAAATCGCGTTTGAAAATTGCAAAAAGTGCTAAAAATTTGCGTAGTTTTTTTTCTCTTAATGTGTTTTTACTATTACTAAGGACCTACAGAACTAAATATAATCCAACCTAACCTAACCCAACCCTACCTAACCAATGCTTAGGTTAGCAATATGCCGAAAATAGCGGATTATTAGTTAAACCAAGGTTAGGTTACGTTAGGTTAGGTTAGGTTAGTTAAGGTTAGGTAAGGTATGGCTAGTTATTAAGTTATTATTTAAATCAATTAGCCTAAAATCACCTGAATATTTTAAATCTAACTTAACCTAACCTAACTTAACCTTACGTAAACTAACCTAACCATATTTAAACTAACCTAACCTAACTTAACCTAACCTAATCCTACCTAACCTAACCCAACCCTACCTAACCAATGCTTAGGTTAGCAATATGACAAAAATAGCGGATTTTTAGTTAAACCAAGGTTAGGTTAGGTTAGGTTAGGTTAGGTTAGTTTAGTTTAAATATACATCTGCTTATTAGGCCTACTACAATAATAAAAACACATTTAAAAGAAAGGCAAGGGGGGGAAACCTGATTTACTAAGTAAAAATGGCAATTAATTGCTGAAAAATTTTCGCGATTTTCAGGGTGAAATAGGCGTTTGCCCCAAAAGTGTCAAATGTAAAAAGTGTTCAAAATAGGCCAAATAATGAGAAAAAAACATTTTTTTCAAAATTCGTTAGAAGCCCCTAAAGTAAACAAATACCACAGTGGTAGCCGGACGTCTAATCCACGTCCGGTTAGGTACCGAACGTGTATCCTCTGCCAAAAAAATAACATAATATTTAAACCTACCTACCTGAGTAATGTAAGGTCAAAGTTGAACTAGGCTACGGTATGCTAAAACCTGGTTCCACTTAACCCACTTCAACCTCCCGATTTATGCTTTGAAACTTAGTTAAGTTTACCGTTCTGAAAAAATATAATGTGTACAGTGACGGGAGCGTGAAAGTTATACAAATCTATTTATTGCTTCATATTTTCAAGAATTGGGAGCATGTTAAAGATCATCTATACTGTCTATGAAAACAATGTAGGCCTAGGTAGGCTAATTAACAGAAACATCAGAACATGCCTAGGCCTAGTTATGGTAGGCCTATTTTTTCATATGCCCAATACTGATTAATTGTCCCAATGTTGTAGGCCTATGGTTTATCTTCAACTTGAAACACATACACTTCACTAAAAGCATTGACTAGGCTATTCAACGCTAAAAGCCTACCAAGTACCTCACCTAGCCTAACCAAGTTAAAGTTAGGCCTACTTACACATTGTTCCTCCACGAGACCACCTTATTTCTGTAACAGGCAATCTCGAATCTTTTGCCACCTTTTTTCATCCTGACAACAGCGACATTCGTTAATCTTATTTGATTAGTTGGTGTAAATATTTTGGACATGTTTACGATGCACAACAACTGACAAGAGTGAAAAGTCAAGTACCAATTGGAATTGACTGACAATGACAGCAATAATAACCTTAAACCTTAGCCTATTCTTATTACATTGCAGCTGCAGCACGAGCACAGCAATATATATAGCTAAGCAATAGCAATGCAAACATGAACGAGACCAGAGTAGAGAAGCACCTTTTTCTAGTGGGGCCTTGCGTCAGACCAGGGGCCCTATTTTTGAAATGGTTGACTGTTGAGTTGAGTGTCGAGTCATTCTATTTCCAATCGTTTCGTATTTTGAAACGGTTGACGGTGGACTTATACAACCAAAACTACTCAACACCTATCGAGCTGTTGAGTGGAGGTTGACTGCACTTTATTCTTCCTCTCTTTCGGCAAAAAATTACTCTTTTTGAGACGACGCCATATTGTTTTGTTATTGCTTTTAATTTACTAATTGCGATTTAGAGGTTATGTATTTGTTGTCAATGTATTAGCACCCAATTATGCGATTGTTTTCTGTAGAATAATCGCATTTTAATTTTATTTACTGTGTCAATACTAGACTATTTAATCAAGGGTTTTATTCTTGTTGGGATGTTTGAAATAGACTAGGCATACTAATTGAACTTATTATAAGATAATTATTGTTATTAGACTTATGATTTAAGGTTTCAAGATTGTGGTAGAGAGAAACAATATCATAGTTTGTTTCAATACCATTCACCTAATAAAGGGATCAAATTAATTTAAGTTACGATATGCTTTCAGTGCAATGGCAAATAGCCGCTTTAACCTAAATAAAAAACAATTAAAAATAACATAAAACAAACCGATGAAGGAAACTAAAATAAGTTGATGTGTTCCGAAATAGAGACGAAGAAAGCAAATAATAATGTATTTAGGATGAGTGTAGGACCTAAAGTAAAGTGCAGCCTATGCCTAAACTTATAATTAGCTACACCCTAAAACAAACATCCATAGTAAATTTTATTTTTTATACTTAAGTTTATTACTTTATTTAGTTTACTTTAGTTAATTACTTAAGTTAAGGTACTTTGCAATCACTAAGATTAAGCAAGACATAACCTCAATCTCAATTTCTCAAGAACGGAGTTGACAGTTTACCTCAGTGTCTCGAAATATGGCAGATTGAGATTAGCTTTTAGCTTAGCTGTCAGATTTTAGAGTAAGAAGAGGTTAAATCGAAGTCCGCAAGAACTCTGCATTGTGATTGGTTCAAAATGACGTCATCTGAATTTTTGACGGTCGTATGCTCTACATTTCCACCACGAGTCTCTCAACTAGTGATTCCCAACTCGCTTCCCAACTGTTGGGTTTCAAAAATACCAAATCATGTTGTTGGTTGAGTTGAGTGCTGACGATTGACTCAACTGTCAACCATTTCAAAAATAGGGCCCCTGAAATGGTTGACAGTTGAGTCAATCGTCAGCACTCAACTCAACCAACAACATGATTTGGTATTTTTGAAACCCAACAGTTGGGAAGAGAGTTGGGAATCACTAGTTGAGAGACTCGTGGTGGAAATGTAGAGCATACGACCGTCAAAAATTCAGATGACGTCATTTTGAACCAATCACAATGCAGAGTTCTTGCGGACTTCGATTTAACCTCTTCTTACTCTAAAATCTGGCAGCTAAATCTCAATCTGCCATATTTCGAGACACTGAGGTAAACTGTCAACTCCGTTCTTGAGAGATTGAATTGAGATTGAGGTTATGTCTTGCTTAAGGGGATTCGCCACTGAAAATAGGTAAAAATCATGAAAAATTGTAAAAATATTTTTTTACATTTCTTTGTACATTGGACCCTATTACATCCAAAAAGTATGATATAATCCATGTATGAATGTTATTATATATTATAACCAAGGGGTTTCGCTCTTTACGATAGCTACAAGATCATAGGACACCTTCTTATTCAAACGCTGTTATCCGCAACATTGAAATTTCACGTTTTTCAATACAAAATTTGATATATCTTGAGAGCCACTAAAGGTACATTGTTGAAATTTTTACTACTTATTCTAGACAGTATTAGGAAAATATTTTGGTAGAATTAGGTATCTAAGTTAATTAGGTACTGAACAATAAAGTTTTTTTCAAACTAATTTTTTTTTCTGAAGAAAAATTATATTTAATGTGTCACAGCAAAAAAAGTATCTGAGATATTATTATGAATCTACCTAAATTTTAAGTTTAGATAACTGTCTTTAAAAACACCAAACTTATCAAAATCCATAAAGAACTCTCTTCAGAATATAGATTTTTAAAACCCCTTACAAATTGATCGAAAAACCTCTATTTTATTTTTTTACCGCCTATAGTTTATATTTAGAAGTAAACCAAAATTTGTCCATTTTTTGTTAAACTATACCCTACTAGAAAAAAACATAGTTTAACGACTTTCCTTATTAAATAAAAAAATGCACCCTTTTCAGTGGCGAATCCCCTTAATCTTAGTGATTGCAAAGTACCTTAACTTAAGTAATAAACTAAAGTAAACTAAATAAAGTAGCCTAATAAACTTAAGTATAAAAAATAAAATTTACTATGGATGTTTGTTTTAGGGTGTAGCTAATTATAACTTTAGGCATAGGCTGCACTTTACTTTAGGTCCTACACTCATCCTAAATACATTATTATTTGCTTTCTTCGTCTCTATTTTGGAACACATCACCTTATTTTAGTTTCCTTCGTCGGTTTGTTTTATGTTATTTTTAATTGTTTTTTATTTAGGTTAAAGCGGCTATTTGCCATTGCACTGGAAGCATATCGTAACTTAAATTAATTCGATCCCTTTATTAGGTGAATGGTATTGAAACAAACTATGATATTGTTTCTCTCTACCACAATCTTTAATACCTTAAATCATAGGTCTAATAACAATAATTATCTTATAATAAGTTCAATTAGTACGCCTAGTCTATTTCAAACATTCCAACAAGAATAAAACCCTTGATTAAATAGTCTAGTATTGACACAGTAAATAAAATTAAAATGCGATTATTCTACAGAAAACAATCGCATAATTGGGTGCTAATCACTGAGCTAAAATTATAACTGGAGGTAGCACTGCCATGGCAGAAGTCTGTCAAAAGCGTGTCGCTGATTTTGTTAGGTTGGTATAGCAGCGAGTTTTCTTATCATAGCAATAACATGGCTTCTATAACTAGGTTGGTATAGCAGTGAGTTTTCTTATCCAATAACATGGCTTCTTATAACTCACACCTCACGCAAGGCGGCTGGCGACACGCATCTTTGACATTCAGTGCTACCTCCAGTTAGAATTATAGCTCAGTGGAACACCATTACGACTACGATCCGTTGGACAGACGGATGGTAGACGGACCGAAGATCCCAGGGTTAAATTTGACCTGAGAATTGTTTACCTGTTTTGGCAAGCCTTGACCGAAGATCCCAGCACTAATGCGGGGTCGAGCGGGGACCATCAGTCAAGCCTTGCTCTTGGTATCTTCATCGAGTTTGATGAGGGTTGACAAGTTTCCGTGTTCCGTCGAGCAACAGGTACACTAGTTGTAAATTGGTTCTTGACCGTTGGAAGGTAAAATCAATAAATAAATATTAATAGGTAAATAAAGAGGTCCCTTTTCTTAAATGCGATTTTAACGACATGCTTCGGTAAAACAATTATTTTAATGGAAACTACTGGGAGTTAAGACAAAAATTGGGTTTGCCTCCTAAGAGGACATTATAAGCTTTCTTTTGATAGCAAATCCGTTTCTAAAATATGAAAAACTGGTTTTATGCGTATTTGAAACTTTCAAAATGGTTTTTCTCAAAATGACCCTTATCAATAACAAAATTTCAAAGTCCTACAACTTTAACAAATAAAATCGTAGATGCATGGGACTTGTCCCAAGTGATTCGGAATTTAATAAGGAATTTTAATACAGGGTTTCCATAAAATAATTGTGTGGTTTTAACATCCTGTAAAACTGTTATAAGACAGTAGACCTAAACTAGTGCAACTACCCCATCAGCTGATTTGACAGTTAGAGACGATAGGGGCGGAAACGACGTAGTATAGCGGATTTGAGCTGACGTCATAATGAGGATGATCATATGATGTTCAAGGTCATTTGTTTGTGTTTTAAAAAAAGGAAGCTATCCTACACTTATAGTGTAGGATAGCTTCCTTGTTTTGTTTATTTGTATAAAACATGAGGAATGACAATAACTTACATACTATCTATCTATATATTAATAGGCAAGCATGTTTCTTTAAAACCTTTTTTCGCAGCTCGTGTGCGTCGTAGGGAAAATCTATACATACTGTTAGAAAGATATTTTCCTCTAGGTGTGCAGAATCTTATTATAAATTAAAATAGGCTCAAAGATAAGCACAAAAAATGAATTTGAAATTAACAAAAAATTAACATGGGCTTTATGGGTTGCCATGATGGTGACGAAATAACAACGAAATATAAACAGAAAATCAAAACAAATTCCAATCACATGTTTTATTTACAAAGTGGGGTTAAAAATAGAGAAGTATGTAAAGTGCAATTGGATTTTTTTAGCTAGAAGTGGTTAAGCTGTGGTGGAATATCTTTGAAGATGGACCTTTTTAATACGATCATGTGTTCATACGTGTCAAATCAAAACAAACAAACTGGCATAATGTATTCTTGGAATTTGACATACTTAATCTACTTTAATAAAATCACTTAGTCATTAGCTAATCATTAGAGAATATTATCCAAATCAACCAATGAATAAATTGTTATTTCATTATTGCCTTCAAATTAAGTGATGGTTAATTGCTTTGAAAATAATTAAATTACATATTTATGGTCGAGTTTCGACCACTGGACGACCTCTAGTTACAATTAATAAGGAAAACATGTGCGAACGTACGTATCTAGAGTGAGCGTCTGCTAAAGTGTAAAACGAATGAGTTTATTGGTGGCCTTTATAAAGGCCATTTTGTGTAGCTCGGCGACGCTTGTGTATTTGGATGTTTACTTCTTCAACTCCTCTATTGTATTATGGAGCTCTTTCCATCTTGCCATGTCTGCATTGTGCTCGGCCCATTCGATGTTGTCTCGAGGCTGAGCGCACCAAACACGATCAAATTTGTGTCGAATCTCTTTCTCCTCCTCCTGCAGTTGAAGTAGTTTTTC